TTCCTCACATATCAAAAGCACTAAAGCAAGATTACAAAACGAGACGACTTTGCAACGTCTTCTGACAGAAGAGACACAAATCGACTGGTCTCTTCAAATCAAGACGTGGAAGCTCCTCCTCCGCGCACCACCATCAAGATGCGCCGTGTTCATGCACGAACGCAGCTTCAAATGAACTCAAAAAGTTTGCAAAAAAAACGCCGCCAGGCTTAAATCGCCACTGGACGCAGCTCTATTCCGCTGCCCGACGCAGCCTCACATCCTAGCCCGACGCAGCGATCCAACATCGATGCCGCACGCAGCTCAACATTCGCCCTGCACAACACAGCTCCAATATCGCTGCCTCCGACGCAGCTCAACAATCGCTGCACAACGCCAGCCAAATATCGGCCCTGCCCCAACGCAGCTCTATACTCGCCTGCAAACGCAGCTTTCATCCGCTCTGCAAACGCCAGCTTCAATCACTGCGCTTCAAGCTTTCAGGAGCACCTGTGTTTGGACACAGAATCATGCCAGAAATGCAGGATCTGCGTTTGACTCGCTGTCAAACACGAGTTGGAACGATTTCAAAACCGCTTTCTCACAATCTGAGGCGCATCACAACTCACTCAGCGAGTATTTAAGGGCGGTTACATAGAATTAGCCCCACTTATGGAGCGAAATAAAAAGGAGGTGGCTATACACCCTTAATCCCCTAAAATACCAACAAAATCAACAGAGTTAAGATCGAATTTTTTATAATCAGATCGAGGGTTGGATCGCGTTTGGAGCTTTTGGAGATCGGCAACAAGATCTTCTCATCCTTGGCTTCATAACCAAGACTTTCAGGTTCAAATCAACTCTTCATTAGAGTTTTAAACTCGTTCAGAGTTCTCCACAACGTCAAATCGTGATGGAGGAGATTCCACGTTCCCAGTGAATCAAGACGTCGGCATCGTAAACGAGAAGCCAAACTCGACGCCGAGCCTATTCGAGAGAGGCATCTCATCGCGCACCGTGAAGAAAACCCAGAATTAAACAAAGGGGAGAATCTAGCACATTCTCTTCTACTCTTGTAATCAGGAAATCCAGATTGTAACTGAGATATAAAGAGAATACAAATCAAAATTTTCCTTTATTTCTTTTTACTGCCAAATTTTTCCTACAAACAACAGCATTGTAATGCCACAAAATATAGTCAGCACAAAGGCAAACCAAAACCAAGGCTTGAACGCAAGGCCAATACCAACATGTTGGCCTGGAAACACACTTGGCAAGCCACACAACTGCTGATGGGCGAATAAAACACATTCACAAAGTTCTCAAACAAGACACAAACAAAGAACTGTCATATAATCCTGCTGATGGGCGATTGTAAAACGCATTAGTATAAAGCTTGCCAAAACTGTCACTAGCTGACCAACACATTCACAACTGATTCATTGGCCGCCACACAACCAAAATATTGCTGAAATTAAGACAAGTAAGCACAGACACTGGAAGTCAATGGCCCAATACTACAGATATCAGCTGGCAAACGCCATCCTGGAAACCAAGTATGCCACCCAACACACTTTAAGCAAACGAAACGTATGCTGGAAATTTCAAACAAGTTGCGAAACAAAACTGGTACCACATGCAGCACCACACATATGAAACTTGGGCGCGAAGCCCAACATTAATTCAACCAAATGCCAACGCAAACAATTGGAAACCTAGCCAATAGGCAACAAAAAAAAAAAACATTTATGCTGAGCAAATGAATAGGTAAGCACTCAAACTGCTACCTCAAAACACTTAGAAAATATAGCTGAAATCAAGGCGAGAGCCAAGGCTGAAACCTAGCATGCCTGAACATTGGCTTGCAAATTCCCAATTCACATACAACCATTTCAATCAATTTCCCAAGCAAACACAACTGCAACATTTTGCCCTGCAGAATTCAGACTGCCTTGACCAAACACAACACAACTGAATCACATGGCAATACTTGCAGATAATCAGACTGCTACACCAACAACACTTGAAACCACAAAATGGCACATAACTGAAATACATGCAAGCACACAACTGAAACCTAAGGCCTAAGCAACAACTGGGAAAGCATAGGACTGAAACCAAAGCGACAAGCAACACTTAAGCAAGCACACAACTGAAATCACCTATGCAAACACACAACTGAAACCAATGGCTGAAGCAACAAACTAGGGAAAGCATAGGACTGAAAACAAAGGACATGCATCAATTAGCAAGCACCAAAATGAAATTTACATGAGGGGAAACAACCTTGAAACCAAGCGCTGAAGAATCAACTGGAAAGCCATAGGACTGAAACCAAGGACAAAGCAACACTTAGCAAGCACACATCAACTGCTAAATCACATGCCAAAGCCACACAACTGAACCAAGGCTGAAGCAACAACTGGAAAGCATAGCGACTTGAAACCAAAACAGCATCAATTAGCAAGGCACACAACTGATAATCACATCGAGTGTGAAACAACTGAAACAAGCTGAAGCATCAACTAGGAAGCCATAGGACTGAAAACCGAAGCAAGCAACAATTAGCAAGCCACCAGAACTGAACAAGTAGACAGAAAGCACACAAGCTGAATCCAAGACTAGAAATCCATAATTGAATATAAGGGCCAAGAACAAATGGAAAGCACACAACTGATGGCGAGGGCGAGGCCCTGAGGCGGGGGCAGGAAGGGTAGACGGCGATTGGTCGCAGGGGATGTGAGAGGGCGGTGAGCTCCGTGAGTTGGCGATTCGGGCTGCTTGGATGAGGAGGAGGGCGGCGAGATCGATGCCAAAGTCAGTTTAGGGATGTTCAAGGGCGATGGGCGACGAGCAACGGCGAGCTGCAGCTCTGGCGGCCGAGCTCGCGGCGCGCGCATTCTCGCGCGCCAGTGGAGGAGGAAGGGGAGGGAGCCTGGCAAGATCTGAGCGGGGGAGATGAGAAAATGATGAGTGTTTTGAACAGACGCCCAGAATGTATTTAGGGGTTTTTTAAAACCAACGACCTTGTCGCCACATCCTTAAGATGCCAGCCTAAGGAGTTCAGCCTTTAGATCCGTATATTAACCATGGAATATGGTAGGTACACAATATTTCCCTACGGAGGGCACCGATATTGAACCATGTGTCCCATAACTCGAATAAATCTCAGCTCAAAAAACTACCCCCACAATATTCCCTACGTTGCCCTCGTTCACAAACTAACCCCCCCACCCCCACCCCTACCCACACACAACAAAACTACCTGCCCTCTCCTTGAGTCCAGCCTCGAGCCTCGTCCTCGATCTCAGCCGCGCCTCAGCCCCGATCGCCTGCCCTCAGCCTCCAGCGCCCGCGGATCAGCCCACTTAGCCGTCAGATCTGGCCAGACCCTCCCCCATCCTCCTCTCCTCCGCCCCAACTAGCCGCTCCACGCCTCGCCGCCCGTTCCCACTACGCAGCCGCCGGCGAGTAGTCGCTGCCCGCCTCGACCTCTTCACCTGGCCTTTTTCTCAAGTTCCTCTTCGCCGTAGCCTTAGCCCCCAAGTCATTGCTTCGAACAAATTGAGAGGGTTGACATTCACGATTTCTTCAAAATGGTGTAAGTTTTCGAAATTCTCATGTCCTATTTTTGTTCTGTATGGAGCTCAGAATTGCATATTATATCTGAACATTATGCTCACTAACGAGTTTGGTTTGGATTTCGATTTGGGTGTGTAGTTTTTGTGTCTTAACTTCTTAAAGTTATGATTTTTCGCGTGGGTGAATTGTAAAGGTTGAATTTTTAATTCCCGCGAGCTTGATTTTGAATGGGGCTGAAGTACATTAGTTGAACATGTCTATAATATGAACTCATTTTGATCATGTTTAGTTTAGTTTTCTGTTAGTGCAGCACTTATTCATGGTTGAATCTACTTATACGTTGAAAATGTCTATAATGTGAATGATAATGAGTAACTATTTCTCATACTCTGAAAGACTTTAATTTAACTGTGAATTAATGTTAAGTGAATCTTATCTTGTGTTGTGCAAAGATTTTGACTACTAACTAGACAATTTTGGCTTCAAAATCTTATGCTTAGTTAAAAAAGTTGGTAGTTGTTTCAATATGGTTTCCTTGATAAAATTTCATCATCACTAATCACACTTATACATCACCTTTGGATATCTTTTGTATGGTATGTCAGAGTCGCTTCACTTTAAACTTTAACATATATTGCAAATTAGTAGAAAGAATCCCATCTATGCTTGACAAAAACTTTTGGCTTCTAAGTCGATGTTACTGGCTAAAAACTTTATGCATAATTAATAAGGTAGTAATGTTTATGGTGTGTGTTTCAGTCATTACTAATCATGCATCTCTTCTCTACACTGAAAGATGTTTTATGATACATTAGTTAGCAGTAGTGGTGTACTCAGTTTCATGATTAGGTCAATTAGTTGTCTAACCATACTTCCATTAATTTCAGCCATCTCGGGCCGAGGCTTTATAGCCCCAGACATCTGTTTCAAGAACACAGCTGGTGCATCCAAGGGCCAGGCGGTGGCGCTGCGCGTCGACGTTGGTTTCGTCGCATTCTACCGTTGTGCCATTGACGGATATCAAGACACTTTGTGCGCGCGCTATGGTCAGCAATTCTATCGAGAGTGCAACATCTCGGGCACTATAAGCTTTATCTTCGGTGATGCCTCCGCCGTCTTCCAAAACTTCATGATCTACGCCAAATTGCTAATGCAAGAGCAATACAATACCATCACAGCCCAAGGCCGTGAAAGTGAAAGCGAGGCTACATGCTTTTCGATGCAAAACTGTTCCATCCTGCCATGGCACGAACTTGCTGCCAGCAACGGGTCAGTCAAGACGTACTTGGGTCGGCCGTGGAGGAATTACTAAACCACGATGTACATTAGGTCGTATATGGACAGGATCGTCGATCCAAGCAGATGAAGTGGTCAAATGACGACAATCCGGCATTGTACAAGGTGCACTATGGCGAGTACGCAAATTATGGGTCGGGAAATGGGAAGCAACAAACAAGGATAAATTGGCCGAGATTCTACTGGATGCAATACAAGGAAGCAACTAAATTTCGAGTTTCTCAGTTTATAAATGGGAGTCAGTGGCTGCCTTCCACAAGAATCCTATATGACTGCTATTTATAAACTGAGAAACTCGAAATTTGGTTGCTTCCTTGTACTGCATCCAGTGGAATCTTGGCCAATTTATCCTTGTTTGTTGCGTCCCATTTCCCAGCCCATAATTTGCGTACTCGTCATAGTGCACCTTGTACAATGCCGGATTGTCGTCATTTGACCACTTCCTCCATCCGCTTGGATCGACGATCCTGTCCATATACGACCTAATGTACACCGTGGTTGAGTAATTCCTCCACGGTCGACCCAAGTACGTCTTGACTGACCCGTTGCTGGCAACAAGGTCGTGCCACGACAAGATGGAAAAGTTTTGCATCGAAAAGCCTGTAGCCTCGTTTTCTTTGTCACGACCGTGGGCTGTGATGATATTGTATTGCTTTTGCATTGGCAATTTGATGTAGATCATGCAGTTTTGGAAGACGTCGGAGGCATCACCGAAGATAAAGTCTACAGTGCCCGAGATGTTGCACTCTCGATAGAACTGCTGACCATAGCGCGCATACAAAGTGTCTTGAAATTTGGTTGCTTCCTTGTACTGCATCCAGTGATTTTTCAGCTTCAAGGGTGTTTTCTACGAATTTCAAAAATTTCACGTTGTTGTTTATAAGTTATAGAGTTTGCTTTATTTTAAAGGTTTGATATTTTGTTGTGTGTTTTTGTAAATTTGATTCGAGGGTGTATTTACAATTTTGAAACTTTCACAGAGTGTTCTGTTAAATTTCAAAAATTTTTCTTTGCCGTTCATAAGTTATAAATTTTGTTTAGTTGGTAAAATTTGATATTTAAGTGGGTGTGTTTCTGTAAAATTTAATTGTTTGAGGGTGTATCTTGTAATTTTAAAATTTTCATGGTGTTTTTTGCTATACGTTGTTATAAGTTATAGACATTGTACTATTTGTAAGTTTTGATATTTCTAGGGCATGTTGTTATAAAATTTGACTTTTAGAGGGCATATTTTGCAAATTTGAAACTTTTAGATGTCATTTTGCAAATTTCAATTTTTCCATGGTGATATTTAAAACTTATAGATTTTGTACTGTTTCAAAGTTTTGATATTTCTAGGCATGATTCTGTAAAAGTCTGATTATTTTAGGGTGTTTTTTTGTATTTTTCCAAACTTTTAGAGTGTTTTTTTGGGAGATCACTACGCCATTTATAAGTGAGATGATGATGATGATGATGATGATGATGATGATGGAAGGGTGCATATCAAATGGGGAGATGATGCCGTATTGTCCTCGGCTTGGTCGAATTACATAAGGCCCTGTTTGGCAAAGGGTCAAGGAAGAGGGGTTAAAAAGATGGATTAATGTACTTAGCACATTCGATAATCTGAAGGACTAAATTATTAACCCGTTAAATAAGTTTTATTTTAGTCATTGTAATCAGTTTTAGTGTTTAGGAATAACAATAATTTTGACTATTTTCTTTATAATTAGAAGGGTTAACTCTTAATCCTTCTAAATAGGAGTATTAAACCCTTTGCCAAACAGTACCTAAAAGACTAATTCCATTTTTTGTGCTTGTTTTTCTTTCTAAATACCTTGTAATTGTTCTGATCTGATCTATATTTCCTTTTCTCGTTATTTTGTTTGGCAGAGAAATTACTTTGCTGAGAAGTTTCTGCAGATTTCTTAATTGGTATCTTATATTCTATAATTAGATTAAAACAGCCTTCATTCTTTCTTACTAATGCTCTGGATTCTGTTATTATTTAACCGGGAGATGAGCTCTCAAAGTGCCATATGAGATTACATATAAATCATCTACATTTTTATTCTGCATGGAGGGTTTTACTCGGTTTTGGTAATTGAGTAGTTGTAATGCATTGATGAATAGACACTTAGGGATTCATAAAACCGACTCCCAAAGTGATGCGAAACGGGGCAATGGGCCTATCGGAATCAGCAATCTAAATCAAACAAGGCACCGTCTCGCCAAAATTCATGATCTTCGGTAGGAAATTAATTTCAAACAATTAATGTGACAGATGGATTTTAACAAGATTTGTTAGGATAATCATGATCAAATCCAATCTCAAATAATTTAATCGCAGTATTCATTATCATTTCACAAAGTTCTAAAATCAATATCAGAATTACAACAGTCACATGTTCAGTTACTCTCGACTCACGAGTATGAACTAAGCAATGAATATATGATAATAATTTAGAGATGTGTTACTCGTGTAATTAACTAATAAATTGAAATTAACAGCAAAAATATCTAGTCGAAAGAAAACAATACCATCGTCGGACGGAACCAACTATGAATCAAATGTGAAGCATTAACGGCCTGCAGGTTGGATCTAAGCAGGAAATCAGGTCCACTTAAACCCGGTTCGCGTGTGAGCCAAAGCAAATCAGACCCACATGAAGTATGGTCGGGTCTGATCAAAATAAACAGATCTGAAGGGCCTCTTTCAGTGTGACCTCGATTCGAAGGGAAGAGGAGGCGATCGTCGTTCGATGATGACGGAGGACGATGGCGGTCGGCGACGAAAAGAGCTTTGACGACAACGCGGACGAAGGTCATCGAGAGGGTGCTAGATCCGACGATGACGAGAGCAGCGACGAGAGGGCGCAAACGGTGCGACGAACTGAGCGACGACGATGATGAACTGAGCGGCGATGATGACGATGGTGTTGTCTGGACAGTGACGCGAGCAATGGTGTCGACTTGAAGACGACCTGAAGAGTTTAAAACAGTGACTGGTGATTTCTTTGAATTTGTTGTACCATAAAATGCTTGGTGCATTTTCTACATGATCACGGACGTGATAAATGGTGAATTCTAAAAGTATACAAGATATGCATGTTTAACAACACGTACCGCAGTATAGATTGTCACCAGCATTCCTCGTGCTACATAGTTGTTTGTTCAGTTCTCTCCGTCTCTTTAAGTTAAGCTCCTAACACATCATTATTCTTTTTGGCACAGTTGGGTTCTACATTACCTTGAAGTTTCCTCATGGATATTGCTCTATTGACCTTTCGTTAGGTACATGAAGAATTTGTCCTGTTGATGTTGGTGACGTGTAATCTGCTCGTTACAGATTTGGTGAGTTTTTTTCCCATCTTTTGCTAAAAGGAAATTTGTTTCCGAACTATTTTGTTAGTCTGACTCCGTGCTTTTGTGGTTTTATTTGAAGGTATGGTTACCGGAATTTGCTAGATCTCATTCTTGTTTACAATTTGAGCTTCAGGTAATCCGAGAAACCTGTAGTTTTTAAGAGCTTTGAAGAGCCTTAAGTAACTCAATTGATTTTTATCATGAAAAGTTTAAAATAGTTCCATAGTTGGGTGCTATGGTATTGATCTCCACTCCAGTCCTCCACTCTCCAGTGTGGTTTTGTAGAGGACTTTCAAGAACAATTTACACTCTAGACCGAACGTACGCTGTTTGCCAAATGTTTAAGTCGCTTTGATCCTTGTAAGGAACACAGATGTGACACGCTAACGCTTGTTTCTTGTATTCTTTCCTTGAATGGTTATGACGGAGGTCCCGGGATCAGAACCCGCTCTTTCTTTCTTTCGTCCTGGCTTAATAGATAACAGGGAGAGTTGGAGATAGAGGAAAAGTGGAGAGAAGGAGAAGATCCATCAAACTCCAGGTAAAAACCCATCTTATATCTCTTTTTTTCTTCTCAACATCATAGATTGTAAGGTCTTGTGGTTTTGATTTGATAATTATCGAAATACATTTCCTTCCGATGCCATTGGATAGAACACCATACATACTAAACTGCAATGCCCAAGGTGACATTTTTAAAGCGTGCTCGTATTTACTTTCATAGGGAAATAGATTAGCTGTTACGCGTACATTTTTAACTCAAAGCACTGTAAATTAGAGCCTCAGATTAGTATGTGTTCTTTTATCTTCTATAGTACAGGTTTGCCATAGTGAAATAATTTATGTGCAAATCAATTGTCAAGTATTACAATGATACTACCAATTAGATTATAAGATGCAATGGGTGAATGCTTTTATGGATGTTATGACGGTGCAGTTTATGATGGTCATATGTTGTCGATGGTGCAAATCTTTTTATTTTAAATATCTGCAATACACATCTTATTTTGCATTCAGTTTGCTGCTTATGCAAGTCCTATTTGCTTTTACTTACAGTTGCAATGCAGCTTAATATCTTTCACTAATTTACCTTATTCTGCAATAAATTATCAACAAAAATTTGTTTATCTTTGTTATCTTAATTTCAATGCAATGCATTATATCTTTTTTCTTCTTCTCTGAAAAATCCTTTCAATCTTTGTTCTCCATCTTCCTTCTTTGCCTTGGGTTTCCTCGAGCCACCTCAACAGCAGCAGCACCAAGACAGACAGAAGTCTCATGTCATGTTTGGGTGCTTTTGATCTTAGGGGGTCATAACCGTAGAGAGCCTAGCAGTTGAACGCACATCCAGTTCAAACATACACCGACCATTGGATCCCATCTAGATCTTTCATGTTGATCCAAGCACATAAATCACATGGATTTTTCACCTATAACTATGCATAGAAGAGTTCGAAATTGTAGTATTAATTTCATCTAAGTTACATAATGGCTAGACGGCTAGTTTACAAGTTTGAGTTTTTGAGTTTTATTACTCTGTTAGCTTACATCAAAAGAAGACCACATTACAATTGGCATATCGATCATGGCAGTCAATGCCATCGAATCTCTGTGGGAATTGGACATAGTAGACCTTCTTTTCCAAGATCAGGTTAATCTGGAGGCACATGCGAAGCTTCTTCCAAGATTCAACATGAAGGGTGCATTGATAAACACTGTGGATGCTAGACCCTGCACTTATAGATCCCAAAAAAAAAAGTGTGCAGCATTTGTACCACTTAGCTTAACTTAAATAAATAAACTTCATACAGTAAATGGCTTACCGATGCATTCACGGCCCTGGCTTCATGTGGTGTTTGGGTATCTTCTCACGAGAGAGACACACCAACCTAGGCAGTTCTTCGCCTTCGACATCAAGTTCACCAGCCCTCCCCAAGTATACATACAGAATTATTGGGTGTTTCAGAAGCCATTATCCATTTTAGTAGTAAGTTTTTATCTCTTCTACCAAAATGATTTCGTTTCCAAGTATGTAGGAATAGTTTATGGATTAGAATGAAACAGAAACAGGAGATGGAGTATGTTTCTGAGGAAAATGAGTGAGATACGGGTAGAGTAAGGCTCTGAAGTTTCGAGAACCAGCTTCTACTTCTTGCAGAAGGGCATAGACCTCCTTGTAAACTCTTCTGTCTCTGATTATGTATCAACAGAAGCATTGATGCACCATCATCTGATACATAGCAGCTAACCTTGTCCACAATGTAGTCCACAGAAAGTATAGAGAGGACAGTGTTGGCACTGATGATATCAGACTCCTACAGAGGATCAACTGTACCAACAAACACATCAACTGGTGAAAGCTTGTTTGCCTGATCGTCACGTTCAAACCTTGCAGAGAGGTTATTCAGATGGGCTTCACGAGTGATGGGAAACCATTTTGGGTGAACCAGTGAACAAGATCCAACATATAACTAAGGTGAACCAAAGGGGATAGACATATTTTGCTGGAGGCATGATAAAAACCAAAAAATGAAGATGAGGATGACAAGCCGGAGGACTATAATGATGCGGTATGGATTGATCTTGCTTGAGGTGATTGGCACCTGTCGTCCTAGGGGCTGTGTGCCTCGGCCATGCTGCGAAAATAATTCAAAGGTAAAATTTTGTCACTGCCTGGTTTATAGATGTCATTTGTATGTCATGTGTGTTTATTCATACATGGATTAAACATGTGTTTATTCAT